GCCATACTAATACTAATCTGCTATCTTCTTTTCTCCTATCTCATAAAACAAGTGTGTTTTCATGTCTCCTAAGTTGTTGTGTTTTTTTTTCCTGAAGCCAGAAACAGAATTGCTCTGCTACCAATATAACTTATTACACTCAATTTTAAAAAAAGCTGAGACTTCCTTAGAGACAAAACAGATGTGGCAGGACAGCATCCTCCTCTTCCCTACCTGGTGACAACAGTAACACAGCTGGCAAGTGAGCTTTTCCCCAACACTCCCAGATACTTACCCTGTGTAAGCTTTCTGTATCTAAAATCCTGACCATGTGATGCGCAGCATAGAAAGAAGTTTAAACAAGTCTTTTGTGTTGCTGAGGATACAAACCTGAAATACCAACACCTCTCCATCTCTTGAGGGATATTTTGGACACCGCACTTATGGTATACAATGAAGCTATTTGTCTATGTCATCCTACTTGAGGGTTACAAAATCTCTATATCCTATCCATTTGAGCTACGACAGGATCTAGGATAACCACTGTATACAGATCACCAACTAGGATCACCACTGATTTAGCTAAAAGACCCATAGGACCACATACACCAAAATCTTACCTCTTACCACCAAAAACACCTTAAGGCATCTTACCTCTCTCACTGAAGATAAAGTTGCAATATGCCTTAGGATTTATTTTAAGGTTTTTTTTTCCCTTTTCATGTTTTGGCGAGAAGTTTGCAAATAACAGCCAGGAAGACAGACATCATCCCAATCATTTCCAAAAAAGTTACAATCTCAAATGTGGTATCACTTGGGAAGGGCAAACTCACCAATTCCTTTGTGAGGAAGCATCCCACATACCAAACATGGTAAGCAATTTTGCAACACACAAACCAATTCACTAAGAATGGGACTGAGGCTGGCCGCTCATTTCGTACAGATCCCTTAACCAATAATCTCTACTGCTACCATACCAGCTCGAGTAAGAGATGTTGATTTTGAAAAGCTAAATATTTTGATTATTGCCTATCTTTTAAGATTGTCAAGGTCCTTTAGAACACTGATATTTGCAAAAGATACCGTCTCGCAGGAAAACAAGCAACAGGTTAAAAGCACAGCAAAGAAAAACCTAAATGACATTAAGCAGAGACCCCAAAATTAGAGAACCATTTCAGTCCTGTGCAGGTGTGCAGTACTTCCCTCACCTCTTTAGCTGCTGTTAACTCTATCATCCCCAGGGAATGGGGATGACCAGGGACCAGGGAACTTCCTCCAGAAATATGCCCCTCCTCTCTGCTGCCCCTCATGGATTCCCTTGGTCCTTCCTCTGAGGAAGTGTCACTATAAATGACATCTCCCTGAGACTACCAAGACACATTATCAAGACATCACCCTACACAGGAATTAAGAAAGGTGGCACCTGTCTTTTTAATCTGTTAAATACAAAATTAACATAACTTTATATTAACATGAAACAACCAGTCCCCTCTTTAATTACATGTCATGCCTCTTCTCACATCCTTCCTTCCCTTTTACTTCATGAATTCTCCAGGATAGGAATCCAACCTTTGTTTCTGCATAAGGAAAGCCATACACAGAGCACATGGATCCAGAAATACATAATGAAACAGATCTTCGTTCCAGTGACTGTTTCTTTCCAGGACACCACTCCAGACTCTGTAGCAGCTTTAAAACTACTCTAGAATTCAGATTATCCAGCAAGCAACTGTATTCCGATCAACAGCTTGGCAAAAGCACAGCAGTGCCCCACTTCTGCTAGGCTCGTAGTCCCTTCTTGAGTGATTTTAAGATTCAGCCTCTCACTGCTGAACACCTACTATTCTTAAGTCCAGCCAGACTGCTTCTCTCTCCCATCTACTGGCACTAAGGGATCCTCCATTTCCTCAAGGCACTTTTACTACTCTATTCCCACCACTCCCCCCCCAACATCATAGCAAGCCAGGCAGAACAAGGCTGCGACATCATGAAGTAGGAAGCTATGACATCACATAAGACCCCCCCACACCAACACTGAAATCTACTCGTTTAGAAGGAAAGTACCTGCCTAAATTCAGACATGTCTCAAAAAATTAGGAAGGAAGCAAAGCAGACACTGAGAAGAAATTTTTCCTGTCCCACCCTTACCAGCGCTGTGAGGAGACACCAGCTGTCCTAGAGCTCACAACTTACATCACCAGGTACGAGGAATTACGTGTGTCTCCTGACTTCCTTCTAACATTTATTACAGCTGACGATCGCAGGGCCCGCAGCGTGTCTATTTATGCCCACTGCCTAGAGGATACTGCCACATTTCCATCTCTGTTTCGTGACTGTTCCTCCCTCCCCCCAGCCAGACAGGAGACAGACTGTCTCTCCTCCGGGGCACCTCCAAAAAGATGCAGGCGTGGAGGGCCAACGAGGATGGCAGAGTTGGACGGACGAGACCACCTGAGAGTCAGAGCCACGGCGAGAAGAAGAGGCAGGTTACGGTAGAAGCATATCCCAGGGAACAGGCACAGAGGGATGGGGTGGGGGGGAAGCAAAGCCTGGGGAAGCAGGGAGCAGGCAGAGCCCGCCCACCGGGCGAACCGTGCCCCAACCAACCCAAGGGAGCCCGGCGATGAAGCCGTGCACGACATGAGTCACTCGGCGGAGCCCAAACCCTGCGTCAGCGCAGCAGGTGAGCGGCAGCCTACCTGGGGGCTGGGCCGGGCCGGGCCGGGGAAGGGGGGGGTTCCTCCAGTCCACCCCGCCGTCCCGGCTCCGGCCCTGCCCGGGAAGGGGCCACGGAGCGGAGACACGGCCACC